CCCCCTAAGGGAGAATGCAGGGCGTGGAGCAAGGAGAATGGAGGAAAAGGCTGCAGGTGTCTAGGTGGCCATGACGTGTGGCTCACAGTGGACTCGTGCCCGCAGGGAGGATGGAGGGGGTGAGTGAGCCGTGGTGGTGACCTGGGACCCCAATGAGGAGTTTCACTTGGGGCTGGGAGTCCATCCGCTTGGCGGGCGGACCAGGTGCCCGTGATCCCAGGGCTGTTGACGGGCTCAGAGCGGATAATTTTCTCAAGGGTCTGCATCTGGGCCTCTGGCTGCTACTTTCATCACCTGGGGCCTCTGTAAACCACCTGTGCCAGCCTGCCCCTCCCCCCATTCTCATGTAATGGGCTGGGTGGGCAGCCAGGCTCAAGAGCTACTGGGCTGCAGGGAACAGAGCAGGCGCTGGGAACAGAGCAGGCGCTGGGAACAGCCCAGTGGAAGGCTCACACTTAGGGTCCAGAAGGAATTTGAGGCCGTAAGTTTGGTGTCCTGGTTGGAGCCGGGATGCTTCAAACCAGACGTCCCAGGTTCAGATCATCACGCTGCCCTTTGTGACCTCGGGCAGGGCGCTTGGCCTCCCGGTGCCTCCAGTTCTCTCGTGACGAAAGTGGGAACCTTGTGTAAAGGGGGCTGTTGTCATATACCCTCTTAGGGCTGTTCTGAGCTTTAAAGGATTCTGTTGGACAAGAGCTTAAAACACTGGCACGGGTGAAAGCCCTCGATATTGATACTGATAACCATTAGCTACTGTTGTTAGTGAATTTTTAGCGCCGGGGCTGTTGCTACAGCCGACAAACGATAGTGATGTGGAGGCAAGCAGGGTGCGAGCTTTGAGAAGGACCAGTGGCAGGTGGGCTGGGCCCAGGGCATTTGAACAGGGACCCGTTTCTAAAGCGTGTGCACGTGTGTGGTGTGAGGGGGACGGAGGGGGGGGGGGGCGATTTAGCAACAAAGGGAAAATGGAGAGGAAGGGCCAGCAAGAGACTTCCTTTAAGGAAAAGGGTGACCTGCCCAGATGCTTTGGCTCAGTGTTTAGAAGCAGTGGTTCTCAACCTTCTGGCCCTTTAAATGCAGTTCCTCATGTTGTGACCCAACCATAAAATTATTTTCGTGGCTACTTCATAACTGTAATGTTGCTACTGTTATGAATCGTCATGTAAATATCTGATATGCAGGATGGTCTTAGGCGACCCCTGTGAAAGGGTCATTCGACCCCCAAAGGGGTCGCGACCCACAGGTTGAGAACCGCTGGTTTAGAGCATCGGACTGAAGGGTCGCAGGTTTGATTCCCGTCAACGGCATGTACTTTGGTTGCTGGCTCCATCCCTGGCCCTCGTTGAACATGTGCAGGAGGCAACCAATCAATGTGTTTCTCTCACATCGATTTTGTCTCTGTTTCTCCCTCCCTTCCACTCTAAAAACCAATGGAGGGCCCTGGCCAGTTTGGCTCAGTGGATAGAGCGTTGGCCTGTGGACTGAGGGTCCCGAGTTTGATTCCCGGTCAAGGGCATGTCCCTTGGTTGCAGGCTTGATCCCTGGTCCTGGTCTGGGCGTGTGCAGGAGGCAACCAATCGATGCGTTTCTCTCACATCCATGTTTCTCTCTGTCTTTCCCCCTCCCTTCCACTCTCTCTAAAAATCAATGGAAAAATATCCTTGGGTGAGGATTATAAAAAAATAAAATAAAATAAAATAATAAAAACCAATGGAGGTGAGGATTAACAAAAAAAAAAGGAAGAAGAAGAAAGAAAAGTGTGACCTGAAGGCACTTTAGGGGAAGGGACCCTGTTAAGACAGACACTGTTGCCCTAGCTGGTGTGGTTCAGTGGATAGAGCGTCGGCCTGGGTGTGAAGGGTCCCAGGTTCGATTCCAGTCAAGGGCCCATGCCCAGGTTGTGGGCTCGATCCCCAGTGTGGGGTGTGCAGGAGGCGGCCGATCCTCATGGATGTTTGTATCTCTCCTCCCTTCCTCTCTCTGAAATTAATAAAAAAATATTTAAAATAAAAGAAGACAGATGCTGCTGGTCCCGAGGAGGCACCCCCCTGGGGCAGGGTTGTCCCCAGAGAGCGAGTGGGGGGAGGGGGGTTGGAGAGATGCAAGGGGCTTAGGAGGCGGAGGGGGTCCCAGCCTGTCTGATGGGCCCCTTTCTCTCTCTCAGAGACGGGGGACATCTACATCTGGGGCTGGAACGAGTCGGGGCAGCTGGCCCTGCCCGCCAGGGGGCTGGCGGAGGACAGAGAGACAGTCGCAGGGGAAGGTGAGTCTCAGCTATTTTTTTAAAAAATTAATTTATTGATTGATGGATGATTTTAGAGAGAGGAAGGGGGAGAGAGAGAAAATCGTTTTGTTGTTCCACTTATTTATGCATTTATTGATTGATTCTTTTTTTTATAAATAAGTTTTTATTGATTTCAGAGGAAGGGAGAGGGAGAGAGAAACATCAAAGAGAATCATTGACTGGCTGCCTCCCACACGCCCCCTACTGGGGATCAAGCCCACAACCCGGGCATGTGCCCTGATCGGGAATCGAACCGTGACCTCCCGGTTCATAGGTCAACGCTCAGCCATGAGTCACACCGCTGGGCCATTGGTTGATTCTTTTTTTTCCCGTTGGTTGATTCTTGTACGTGCCCTTGCCAGGGATCAAACCTGCCAACCTTGGCGTTTGGGATGATGTTCTAACCAACTGAGCTTCCGGCCAGGGGATCTCAACTCTTGACTCCCACACGTTTCTGTCGTTCCTGACCCCTGGCCACAGGCTGGCCTGAGAGCTTACAGCGCTCAGAAGGGACACGTGACATCCCTGGGACCCAGGACACAGGGGACATAGTCCCTTACGGGAGGGGAGGAGGGTGAGCGCAGCGAGGCTGGTGCCCGCACCCCGTGCTCCGCAGCACTTCCTGGGGCGAGGGCCGGGCACCAGCTTCGGAAGCTGCCATCCTCGCTCTCCCTTCTCCGAAGCCACTGCACTGAGGGAAGACGGTTCTGGGGTGAAGGGACCAGCGGGGACTGAGGATGGAGCCGCCGCCCCCTTCATCGCCGTGCAGCCCTTCCCGGCGTTACTGGACCTGCCCCTGGGCTCGGACGCGGTCACGGCCAGCTGCGGGTCCCGGCACACGGCCGTGGTGACGAGTGAGTGCGCCCGGTGCGCCCGGTGGGCCGGCTCAGGGTGGAGCAGGACGTTGGACCGCCCATCAGTCCGCCCATCTGTCCGCCCGTCAGTCCGGCTGGTGGCTGCAGGCGGGTGTGTCCCCTAAAACACCATCGTGCAGAGTAGCTGCCTCAGCACAGAGAGCCCGACCTCCCTGTGGTTCTCTCTGGAGGCTGGTGCTGTGGCCTCTGGTCACCGGGCAGCAGCGCCCGCCCGGCCAGCTGCGCAGTCGCCTGAGCTCAGTAGCTGAGCTACTTGATCCCCAGTAGGGGGCGCTGTGAGGCAGTCGGGTGGGGAGGGCGACCGTTCTCGGGGCGGGTCCTTGACCAGCCCAGGGGGACGGGCTGGTTAGAAAGCTGAGCCCGTGCTGAGTGGTGCTCCATCAGCCCCTCGGTGTGCAGTGTGGTGTGCAGTGTGCGGCTCGGGCTGGGGGCCGGCCAGCTGGACGGCTGCCGAGTCGGGCAGCACGGTGACCGCCCCTGTCCTTCTGGTTGCAGGGACCGGGGAGCTCTACACCTGGGGCTGGGGTAAGTCAGGCTCCGCCTCTGTGATGCGTGAACCCAGGGGAGGGGAGGGGCGGGCCGGGCGAGCCCCTGCACGTGGGAGGACCTGACAGAGGAGCTGTCTCTAGAACAGGGCTAGGCACTCGGCTCAGACGGTATCAGTACTTCCCATCTGCCTTTCTTTCTTTTTTTCCTAAATGTTCCTTGTTTCTTTATATATATATATATATACACACATACATACATACATACATACACACACTAGAGGCCTGGTACATGAAATTCGTACATGGGGGGTGGAGGGTCCCTCAGCCCCACCTGTGCCTTCTCACATTCCAGGACCCCTCACTCCTTACCGCCCGCCTGCCGTGGAGGTGGGAGAGGCTCCCGCCACCGCCGCTGCGCTCGCCAGCCATGAGCCTGGCTTCTGGCTGAGCAGCACTCCCCCTGTGGGAGCACACTGACCAACAGTGGGCAGCTCTTGTGTTGACCGTCTGCCCCCTGGTGGTCAGTGCACGTCATAGTGACCAGTCATTCTGCTGTTTGGTCGGTTTGCATATTAGGTTTTTATTATATAGGATATGGATCTTTTTCCATTGATTTTTAGGGAGAGTGGGAGAGAGAGGGAAAGACCGAGAGAAACATCGATGTGAAAGACACACATTGATTGGTTGCCTCCTGCACAAGTCCTGACCAGGGCCCGGGCCGGGGAGAAGCCTGTAACCGAGGTACTGCCCTTGACTGGAATTGAACCTAGGACGCTTCAGTCCTCAGGCCAACGCTCTTTCTGGCCGGGGCCCTTCTGCCTTTCTGGAGAACTGTTTGTCTTGGGGGGATAGTTAGCCAGCGTCTGTGAAACACCTTGTGGTCTGGCACTGGGCTCGGAGCCCCTGGGGTCCTGAGAGGCAGCTGGCCGGAGGCTGGTCTCCTGAACTCACAGCAGACGCCGCAGGTGCTGGCTGAGGCCCACCCAGGGGCTGGTTTCCTGCTTGGCGGGGAGCAGCCCCGAGGAAGCCCCCCGGAGGGCATGGCCAAGGGTCTCGTTTCCCTGTAGGGAAGTACGGACAGCTCGGCCACCAGGACACCACCAGCTGGGACCGGCCCCGCCGGGTGGAATACTTTGTGGACAAGCAGCTCCAAGTAACGGCGGTGCGCTGTGGGCCCTGGAACACCTACGTGCACGCAGTGGAGCAGAGGAGCTGATGTACGTAGACAAGGGCATGGAACGAGTGCCCAGCGCAGTAGAGATATAAAGCCGCCACCTGTGAGGCCCCCCAGGGCAAGGAACACCACGGAGGCCCCCGGGGCCCCGCCTCTGCCCATCAAGGCCTTTCGGCGGCTTCCCCTTAGACCAGCGTTCTCATCTTGGTCCTCGGGTTGGAAACACCCAGAGAGCTTTGGAAACGGGTGCCCAGGGCCAGCATCAAAGGCCCTGACATCAGCCCGGCCGGCGTGGCTCAGTGGTTAAGTGTTGACCTCTGAACCAGGAGGTCACGGTTCGATTCCGGTCGGGGCACGTGCCCAGGTTGCGGGCTCGATCCCCAGTGTGGGGTGTGCAGGAGGCAGCTGATCCATGATTCTCTCTCATCATTGATGTTTGTGTCTCTCTCTCCCTTCCTCTCTGAAATCAATAAAAATATATTTAAAAAAACAAAAAGACCATGAAATCAGAACCTTGGGGGTAGATTTGAGCATCATCTGTTGGCAGGTGTGCACTGGCCGTCTGTGTGTCTCTGGAGAAATGTCACTCCGTCCTTCGCCCCTTGTTGAATCGGGGTGGTGGTGTTGAGTTTTAGGTTGTGTACGTATTGTCTGCCCGTGGGCCCCTCATCAGACATGTGATTTAGACATATTTCCTCCCGTTTTGTCAGTTGGCTTTTTACTGTTGATAGTGTCACTTGATGTAAAATATTTTAATTTCCACGAAGTCCAGTTTGTGTGCTTCTCCTCTTGGTGTCTGTGCCTTTGTTGTCACGGCCGAGAACCACTGCCGAGTGCTGTGACGCTTCTGTTCTGTCGTTTCTGGTTTGTTGTATGGGTCGCACATTCAGACCTTGGTCCACTTTGAGTTGTTTGTTTGCTTTGGGGGTTTTGGTGATCGAGACGTTTATTAGAGCTGGACAGTGATGGAAGGACGGCCTGGCATCGCAGAAGCAGCAGGAGCGCCTGGCAGGCCATGGGCTCCCTGAGAAGCCAGAGGAAGGGGCCGTGGGGACCGTGCGGGGTTGGGTGCTGGGGGTTTGCCCGGGATGAGCTGCCGCTGCCCCTTGCCCCCCTGGCTTTGAGTCTCTGGGAGCCCCAGAGTTTAGGGGACGCACGCCTATGGGGCGTAGGGGGGAGGGAAGGCGCGGGCGTGCTCCGGGAGGGACAGCGCCCCAGGGAATTGTGGGATGTGCTTTGAGATAAGTGTCCACGCTCATTGTTGCTGTTGGTCGCCAGTTTCCCAGCACGTTTATTGCAGAGCCTGTCCTTTCCCATTGGATGGCCTTGCACAGTCGTCACGAGTGGGCAGCCCTTGCCGGCTTGCCCAGTGGTTAGGGCATCGGCCCATGCACCAGAGGGTCTCGGGTTCGATTCCAGTCAAGGGCACATACCTGGGTTGCAGGTTCCATCCCCAATCCGGAGGGGTGAGTGTGGGACACAGTCAGTCTGTGTGTCTCTCTCACATCGATGTTTCACTCTCCCTCCCCCCCTCCCCCTTCCACTCTCTCTAAAACCCAACGGAAAATATCCTCAGCCCAGCTGGGGTGGCTCAGTGGGTGAGCATTGACCCAAACACCAAGAGGTCACTGGTTTGATTCCTGGTCAGGGCACATGCCCGGGTTGTGGGCTCCATCCCCAGTGGGGGGCATGCAGATTGATGTTGATGATTCTCTCTCTCTCTCTCCCTTCCTCCCTAAAATCAATAAAAATGAAATTTAAAAAAGAATAAAAGGCTTAAAAAATATCCTTGGGTGAGGAGTAACCAAAAAGAAGAGAGAGCGGGTTTATTCCTGGGCTCTTCGTTTTATTCTTTTCATCTATGTTTGTTGTTAGGCCATTGTCCCCCGTTTTGATTACTCTAGCTTTCTAGTAAGTTTTGAAGTCAGAAAGTGTGAATCTTCCAACTTTGTTCTGCTTTTCCAAGATTATTTTGGCTGTTGGGATCCCTTGCAATTCCATATGAACTGATGACCTGCTTTTACATTTCTGGGGGAAAAAAAAAAAAAGCCAGTGGGATGTGGATAGAGATTGCATTGAGTCTATAGGTCAGTTTGGGGAGTATTAATGTCTGAACTATATTAAGTCTTCCAATCTGTGACCACAAGATTCTTTCTATTTATTTAGGTCTTTAATTTCTTTCAGCAATTATTGGTAGTTTTCAGTGTACAAGTCTTTTATTATCTCCTTGGTTAAATTTATTCCTAAGTGTTTATTCTTTCGGACGCCATTGTAAATGGAATTGTTTTCTTAATTTCATTTTAGATCATTCATTACTAACATATACAAATACAATTGATTTTTTATGTGTTAATCTTGTATCCTGTAACTTTGCTGGATTTGTTTATTAGCTCAAATAGTTTTTTGGTAGATTCATTAGGATTTTCTATAGGGTATCCCCCAAAAGGTATACATAACTTTGAATGATCTAAACATTTATTAACATACAGTTCATTTTCAAAGTTTAAAAGAATTTAGAGAAATGAATAACTTTATCTCTTTGTGTATCCCCATAAAAGAAGTCAAGTGACACTTTAGGATAAATTTTCTTTGTTCAAAGTTTTGGTATCAGTCTGGCTTCCCCCATTATTCCAAATCAGTTAAACCTGAAAAGTAGTGACAATTGAGTTATCAGCTGTTAGAGAGGGTATACATTTGGGGGGAACACCCTGTATAAAATCACTAGAGGCCCGATGCACAAAATTCGTGCAAGGGGCTCGGCCCTCACAGCCCTGGCTTCGTCCGGAAGGCCGTCCGGCTGTCCGGTCTAATTAGCATATTGTGCTTTTATTACTATAGATGTCGTCTGTGGATAGACATAGTGTTAGCTCTTCCTGTCTCAGTTGGATGCTTATTTGTATTGCGGAGCGAGGCTGGCTGGCACTTCCAGGACGATGTTGGATGGAAACGGGAGGGGGCGTCCTTGCCTTGTTCCTGATCTGAGGGAACCAGCCCCGCGTAGGTTAGCTGGGCTTTTTGAAATGCCTTTTTCATGTTGGGGAAGTTCTTCCAGTCCTAGTTAGCTGAGTGCTTTCACCATGAAAGGGTGTTGGAGCATGTTCCCCCCTCTGTTCTATTGAACGTTAGTAGGTTCCGGCATGTGGAGCCATCCTTGCGTTTCTAGGGTGTGTCCCCTTGGTCAGGGCCTATCACCCTTTAATACTCTGCTGGTCCCGTTTGCTTGTGTTTTGTTGAGGCTTTTTGCCTTTATATTCATAAGGGATATTGTTCTGCTGTTGTGATGTCTTTGTCAGTTTTGGTATCAGGATAATGCTGGCCTTTGAGAACGAATTAGGAAGTATTCCCTCCTCTTCAATTTTTAAAAATTTACATGCATTGCCCTGGCTGGTTTGGCTCAGTGGATAGAGTGTCGGCCTGCGGACTGAAGGGTCCCAGGGTCCGATTCCGGTCAAGGGCATGTACCTTGGTTGCAGGCACATCCCCAGTAGGGGGTGTGCAGGAGGCAGCTGATCGATGTTTCTCTCTCATCGATGTTTCTAACTCTCTCTCCCTCTCCCTTCCTCTCTGTAAAAAATCAATAAAATATATTTTAAAAAATTTACATGCTTTTTATTTTTTATTCATTTTAGTTATTTTTAAAATATATTTTTATTGACTTCAGAGAGGAAGGGAGAGGGAGAGAGAGATAGAAACAATGATGAGAGAGAATCATTAATCAGCTGCCTCTGACACGCCCCCTACTGGGGATCAAACCCACAACCCAGGCATGTGCCCTGACCAGGAATCGAACCATGACCTCCCGGTACATAGGTTGACACTCAACCACCGAGCCACACCAGCCAGGCTTCAGTTTTTTGGGAGAGTTTGAAAGGTATTGGTGTTAATTTTTTAAAAAATGTTTGGTAAAATTCACTAGGGAAGCCATCTATCTGGTCCTGGGTTTTCTTTGTTGTGAGGTTTTGAGTACTGACTCAATCTTGTTACAGGTCTATTCAGATTTCCTTTTATTATTATTATTATTATTATTACTATTATTTATTTTAGAGAAAGGGAGAGAGAAACATCTACTTTGTTATAAGTTATTTTTAAAATTATTTAGTGTTTAAGTGACTATATAACGATCACATAGTCAGTGATTCATTACTTCACACACTGGGCAGGAGAGTGTGGAGTGTTTCTATTGTACAACTGGTTGGTTCAGGGAGAGTGAAAATCTCTAGCACTTAGATGGTTGAAGAAATTCTCATTTAAAGTGTGGGCATGTCTGAAAAGACTTAATCAGCACCTTCTTTATATGGCTCTGGGTTGAAGAAAGACAGTTTTGACTTGTATTATAATTTCAGAGATAAGTATTGCTTCCCCGGCTTGTTTTTCATCTCCATTTGCATGGGAAAAATTTTCCATCCCGTCACTTTCATCCTGTGAGTCTTTTGTCCTGAGGTGGGTCTCTTGTAGACAGCACATACATGGGTCGTTTTCTTCTTTTTTCTTTTAAATATATTTTTATTGATTTCAGAGAAGAAAGGAGAGGGAGAGAGAGAAACATCAATGATGAGAGAGAGCCATTGATTGGCTCTCTCCTGCACGCCCCCCACTGGGGATCAAGCTCGCAACCCGAGCATGTGCCCTTGACCGGAATCGAACCCGGGACCCTTCAGTCCGCAGGCCGACACTCTATCCACTGAGCCACACCAGCCAGGGCCATGGGTTGTTTTCTTATCGATCCAGCAACCCCGTGTCGTTTAATTGGTGCGTTTTGCCCCACTTAGTTATGCATTCCTTGGTGGCTTCTTGTGCCCTGACTGGGGCGTGAACCCCCAGCCTTGGCGAATCGGGACAAACTCCAACCAACTGAGCTGCCTGGCCAGGCCCAGGTTTCCTATCTCTTCTTCTTTTTAGATTTATTTTTAAATCTGAATTTACTGTTGGTTTCCGCGTTATCAAGATCTGTATGTGGCACCGTGTGCCCCCCGCCCGAAGTCAGAACTTCCCGTCACCTCATGTTAGGACCCCCTCCCCCCACCCTCCTTCCTTCCTCTTTCTTCTGGAGGCAGGTTTGGTAGTTTGTGTGTTTTTAGAAATTTGTCTATTGCCTCCAGGCTATCTACTTTATTGCCACTAATTGTTGTTAACTAATTAATTGTTTAGTATTCCTGTTCTTCATGGTGTTGAGGGGGAGTGTTAACACATTGCGGACCAGTAGTTTTATTGCTGGCTTTACCCAGTGGCCAGATAAATTTCTATTGGACGAGTAAGAAAAACGTTTTACATAAATGTTAAAGGCACGCTTTAAAATTAAATACCCATTGCATTTTGAAGTTATTACATGTTCTTACAAGCTAATATCTTTTTAAAGTATTCTCGTGATCTGTCCACAATGTGTTGAAAATCCAACGAAGATTGTGAATATTTTTCTCCTTTTGATTCAATTTCTGACTTTTATTTGTATGCACTGTGAGGTACATAGAAATTTGGGGTGCTTATATCTGCTGTAGGTTGCCCCTTTTTACGATCGTGAATTTTCTCTGGGGGGGGGGGGCGGGGGGCGGGCCGCAGGAGAGTCCCTCCTGCCGCTCTCCGTGGTGCTGATCTCTCCCCACCCGGGCCTGGCGACTGTGCCCGGTCGCGCCTGGTTGGTGAGTTCCGTTTGGGTTCTTTGTCTTGATAACAAGTGTGCGGTGTTGACACTGCTGGGAAGTAGTTGACCTATGACTTTAGCTTCATGGTGTCCACACTGGCTTTCTGTTCTGTGGATACTGCCACTGCCCCACACGCTCCTCCTTCCTCTTTGGGGGGCGGGCAGGCAGGAGGCCCGGCTCCCCGAGAACCCTGAGAATATGACCCTGTTGGGTGGCAGCTGATCTCGGCAGTGGGAGGGCAGAGCTGGAGGTGCCGCCGTGTGGGAAGTGGTGACTGCCAGGCGGGAGGCTGAGGCTCCTGGGGAAGTGGCCACCCTGCCGTGCGCCCCAGGGCAGCCTGGGACTTGGGTCCACGAAGGGTCCCAGCAGTAGTTGTTAGCAACCCCACCCCACGGGGAAGAGCTGGTGTCCCCCAGGGCTCCCAGGAGGGGCTGGACTCCCAGCGCGCCGTGGGGCTGGGCTGTCAGGTTGGAGAAAGGAGACCAGGGAGGTCTGGAGGTGGTCAGGTCTCCAACACTGTGATCAGGGGCAAGGATTGGAGCTGGGAGGTCAAAAGTCAAAGGTCAGATGTCATAATGAAGACCTGAGGGGAGAGACCACAGGTCTGGGTCTGGGTCTGGGATGGAACCTCCTCATCTCTGCTCCTCGCCTCGGCTGCGGGTCCGAGGCCTCCCAGGAGGTGGTGCTGAGGCAGTCGCTGTCTGCGCTGGGCGATGACAGGTTCAGGCACAAAGGTGACACGGGTGCTGGATGTCCCGCAGGCTCTCAGCACCGCCACCTACAGGCCTGGTGTGCTGACCCCGAAGACCCGCACTGAGATGGATGGCAAAGGAGGGGGGGTCAGGTGGGGGAAGAGCGTGGGAAGGGGTGCCAGTCCTTGGTGCACCTCTGGGGATTGTGGCCACGTAACACATGCCCCCTCCTAACGCCCCGTGGGAGGTGGTGCTCAAGGGGCCGTCCTGTGCCGGCAGGTGAGAGACTGGCCAGTGTCCTCTCCCAGGAAGGGCTGGCTCCTTCCCCCTCCAGCCCCTGCCTCCTGGTCCTCAGAGGGTCCTGGCAGGGCTAGGGGCTCAGGACCTGCTGGGCCTTCCCGGGTCAGGGGACTGGCCCTGAGCCTAGAGCTCTGCTGGTCTCTGGGGGTCAGTGTATACCCAGCGTGAGGCATGTTCCGGCCTCTGGGGCAGACGGGTGTGGGAGGGATGCCTGGTGTGATTCTTGAGCTGAAAATGGAGATACAGGGACAGAGAGAGGGAGGGCCAGTGAGCTGGAGGCTGGCCGAGTGGCCACGGGGGCGGACCGTCTGGACTGGCATTCCTCCCTGCACCCTTGCCTGGGCACGTGAGGGTCCGCATGAGCCAGGGTGTGTCCGGGTGACTGTGTCTGTCAGGGAGTGTCTGTGTGCACATCAAGCATGAGGGCTCCTCCCCAGCTGCAAGGGGACCCCCAGCAGAGCTCACACCCTGAGAGCAGGAAGGGAGGAGACGGTGGGGAGCCCTCCCCCGGGTCCGGAGCCTGGCTCTGCCCATGTGTTGGCTGAGCCTGACCAGGCCTCAGTTTCCCTTGGCGGGACAGGATTAGATGCATCCCTGACACCCGGGAGCGGGGCCGCACAGTCCGGGACTTGTCTTGGCAGGAGCAGCAGCTGCGTTCTCGTGAGAGTAAGTCAAGGCAGCTGAGCACAGGTGTCCCCACCCCAGGAGGCAGAGGGGCTGCTGGGGGAGCTGCCTGTGGGACAGAGGAGGAGGCCAGTTCCGTCTCCCACCAACTCCATTCCATAGCCAGGGGCCCCTTGTTCGGGGGTTCCCCACTTTGGGGGCTCCCCTAAGGCAATCACGACCATGCATGGCCGCCTGTGGGTCAGGCTGCACAGTCCAGCTGCCAGTCGTTAATGGAACAATTGCGCCCTCGTGTGGCCTCGCTGGGAGCACAGCTGGGCTCCCCTGAACCTCGCAGGCCTCGGTCCTCCTCCATTCCCCTCCTCCCACTCCCCACAGACCCCTCAAGCTCCAGCCCCGGGACTCGCCCCCTTGGTCTCATTTTCCTCTTTCTGTTTCTCAAGCAGCAACGCTCTGAGCTCTGGGCTCCTTCCATCTGCTCTCTGCCCACCACTGGGCTCTGCCTCCCGGTGCCTTGCAAATGGGCTGACAGGCTGTTCGTTTCCACGTGGTGCGGCCCCTGGTCTCACGGCTTCCTCGGGGCTGGGGGCAGGGGGATGGGGGGACAAGATGGGTAAGGTCCACAAAGCCCGCCGTCCTGAGAGCCGGCCGTTTTGAATAAATACTCCCTGGACTGTCGCACATGGGTTAGTGTCCAGAGTCTGGAGGTGACTTTGGCCATTTTTGCCAGCGTTCTCATTCCTTATGGAGCAGTTTTTAGACGTCCTTACCCACATTCCTGCTGACACCACTCCTTTTCTTTTTTAAATATATTTTTATTGATTTCAGAGAGGAAGGGAGAGGGAGAGACATCAATGATGAGAATCATTAATCGGCTGCCTCCTGCACGCCGAGCCCGCAACCCTGGCAGGTGCCCTGACTGGGGATTGAGCCCTGACCTGGTTCATAGGTCAGTCAGTGCTTAACCACTGAGCCACGCCCAGCTGGGTACCACTCATTTTAGTCATTTTTAACTGTTAAAACCAGTCCTCCTGTGAGTAGCTTGTATTAGAAAATTGATGTGGCTAGATTTATCTTTATTAACTATCACAGCATTCACATGGCCCATCAGCATTGTCACTTTAATCGTAAACACAAGAGCCACCAACTAGGTGCACAGATGTGTTGGCGGTAATCGGTGAGCAGTTCATGGCTCAGCACTGCTTATTGGAGGAACATTTCACACTTACATCGGCTTACGTGCTCTGTAGCCTCTGACAGTGGTGAGAAGCCGTTACGTTGGGCCCTGGGGTTAAGCCTCCGTCCACAGCCCCGAGGTCCCTGCGGCCGAGGGACTGGCCGTGTCTGAGGGACCCTGTGCTGCTCGCCTTGCAGGGCATCCCAGGCTGCTGACCAGGACTGTGGCCGAGACCCCGGAGCACAAGCAGGTCTCTGGGCGGCTGCTGCACCGGCAGATCAAGGGCAGGTGAGTGACACCCGTGCGGCTGCCCCACCCCCCAGACAGCTCTCCCTGCTCCATGGGCTTCGTGACTCAGGTCCCGACTGTTTCTTACAGCCAGAGAGCACCTGTCAGCTCCGAGGGCCGAGAACCCACGGGAGGGGCTCTGTCTGGCCTCGCGCACCTGGCGAGTGGTTTTGAGATTTACCCGTGTTGTTCACGTGTCAGTTCATCCCTTTCTGTTACTGAGCAGTAATATGTCAGAGTGGATATTCCACAACTTAGTTTTTAGATGGAGTGGGAGAGACAGAGAGAAACTTCGATGTCAGACACACACTGATCGGCTGCCTCCTGCTGAGGTTCGTGCCCTTGACTGGGAATTAAGACCCTTTGGTGCATGGGCCGATGCTCTAACCACTGAGAAACTGGCCAGGGCGATATTTCACAATTTTAAAATCCATGTGCTGACACGGGGAAGGAGAGGTGGGTCTTCATTAAGGCGGCAGGGCTGGGGTCTAGGGTCCCAGCTTCCTGTGCTGAGGGGCAGCTGCCTGGGCAGAGCAGGTCTCCCTGACAGTGTCTGTCCTTTGTGACCCCTGCCCCGGTTCTCGGAGGGCAGTTTTGGCCGCAGCTCTGGGTGTGTTCAGGGTGTCGGCCTCTCCAGCACCCATGGGATCTGAGGAGCAAAAAGGAACTTCCGGGCGCTCACTGCCCGTCTCTGGGTCCTGAGTCCCAGCCAGGCGGCCCTGCTCTCCGCCCTTGTCCTCCTCACTGTTGCTGCATGTAACGTACAGGAAGACCAGGGAGGAGCACGTGTGTGTCTTGTCAAGGCCCCGTCTTTCATTATTGGTGCTTGGGTTTCACACACTTGCCTGTGCAAGTGTTTCTACAGAATAAATTGTAAGCAGTGAAGTTTGTGGGGATTAGAATGCACACATTTTAAGAATTAATTTTGCTGTAAAGTGGCTTCCAGAAACAAATGTTTTAACTCTGACGGTGACATGTGAGAGTGCCGGCCAGCACTGGTGCTATCAAACTTGTGGGCTGAGGAGCTGTCTCTCTAACGTGCTAACTGGGAATTGATTATTAGTGATTGTGAATAATCCTTGTGCTCTGGGTCCTCTGATCCTGATCCAGATGTTGAGTCCCCGGAGCAGGTGTCGCTGCTGGTTTGGGGTGTGGAACCCTCCTGCCCTGGTGTCGCTCGGCCCCCAGCGCACACGCACACCAGCAAGCCTGAGTGGTGAGTGGCCTTTTTAAAAAGTATCTATGGTGGACTTCCTTTTTTAAATCAAGATATTTATGGTAGAAAAAATAGAGAAGCCAAAATTTTAATGATCACTTGGTAACCCTATAACTCTGAAATCCTGTAAACATGTTAACATTTTAGCTTTAATACTATTTTTACAGGTGTTACTTCTATATAAATATATGTAATATACACATAAACTGAAATATTTAAAATATTTTAAGAGTCACTGTACCTCATGGTGGCCGGTCATGACGGTCATGACACTGAGGTGACAGGCTGGCGGGCGCCTTCTTAGCACCTCGCTGGGGCCACATATCACACGCCTCATCTTTGCTACAACAATTAACCCCTAGAGTGCCGGGGAGCGTGATGGCGCTCCTGTCTTTCGCCAAAAGTGCCGGGAGCGCTATCAAAGCTTCAAAATGGCATCCAGTTCTAAGTCGGCTTTTATTAGTGATGATGATATTGCTAAATATGTCCATGTAGTAAAGGTTTCCTTAACTTTTTGATTATGTAACTTCATTTACTTGCGATTCATAATTTTCTTCCTAAACTGCTGTAAAATCAGCAGAAATGCCTTGGCAGTTTTAGCATGGTTCCTAGGCTATTGGTTGGCACTCAGAGGGTTAAGTCTCAACCAATGGCGTGTCAGGCTCCTGTCTGTATTTGGTAACACATGAGTGTTGCTCACGTGCACGTGGGAGAGGTCAGGTGGCGTGTCTCCCTGCTGACGGCTGTGGCTCTGCTTTTGTAGAGGTGAGTCTGAGAAGAAGCCCTCGCATCAAGCAGCTGGCACTCGGCAGGAGGAAATCTGGTCCCTTCTATTCTGCGTCTCAGCCGCAGCTGGTCAGGTAACGTGCCTGCCCCACGTCCACTTGGTGGGAAGTATTTTTGGGAAAAGCAGGGTGAAACTTGACCATGGAGATGAGGAAGGGTGAACAGAGAGAAATGAGTGGGATCAGACAGAAGGAGAGAGGGTAAGAAGAGAGATCTGGGAGAACATTGAGGGAGATGAGAGTGAGATTGGGGAGACAGGTGAGCTGAGGGAGGGAAAGGGTGAGATCAGAGAGAACAGGAATTTCAGGGCGATTGTTCAGAAAGAGGGTAACAATCGCTCTGAAATTTAGAGGGGAATGAGAAAACTGAGAGGGAAGAGAATAGGGGAGGTCAGAGATGATTGAGCTCAGAGGTGAGAAGAGGTAACAGGGAGAGTCAGAGTGAGAAGAAGGTGGGAGAGGGAGACCAGGGGAGTGCTGGGAGGGGAGCTTGGACAGAGAGATGAGTGGAATCTGGAGGGAGATCAGGGAGCTGGATCGAGCTCATGGAGAGAAGAGAAAGAACAGGAATTGCAGAGAGTTGAGGGAGAGCAGAGACCATGCTGAGAGAGAAGCATGAAATCACAGAGAACGAGCTGAGGGAGAGGAACAGTTGAGAGAAATGAGTGGGATCAAAGAGAGAAGAGAAAAAGTGCTGATTGAGCTTAGAGGGTAGGAAGAGAGTTTAGAATAAGAAGAGAGAGGAGACAGGGAGATGAGAGATGAAATCAGACAACTGAGCTAAGAAATGAGTGGGATCAATCAGATGGAGGGGAAAAATAGAGGGAGACCGAGTTCACAGGGAGAGAAGAGAAAGATCAATCAGACAAATAGGAATTTCAGAGTTGAGAATGAGAAGAGATCAGAGAGAGATAAGAGAGACCATTGAGCTGAGGGAGGGAGAGGATAGAAAAGAGATCAGAAAGGAGACAGTGAGACGAAAGGGGAAAAAGAATAGGAATTTAGAGTGAAAAGACAGTTTAAAGAGAGTAGAGTGAGAAGAGAGAACAGGGAGTTCAGAGAGAGGGAGAGAAGAGGAAGAGATTGAAACAGGAGAAAGTGCGTGTGGGATGTGCTGGGACTCACTGCGCTGTCCTGGGCCACTCACCTGCAGCGTGCTCCCAGTCACACACACGCCTGCACCTGAATCTTTTTTAATGGAATTTATTGTCATCACATTGGTTAATAAAATCTACAGGTTTAGGTGTACAATCCCATAATATGTCATCTGTATATTGTATTTGCACCCGAATCTTTAGTGTGTGCATGAACGACAAAGGAGGAAGGGGTGGGGTGCAGAGTCCAGGTTTGAATGAGGGATTTTTTTAACGAGCTTAAGGTCAGTATCCCAAAGCTGCTCTGGTTTGGAGAATGTGCTTTCTGCGTCTACACCTTCTACACTCGACTTGCAGCTCCCCACCACCACACACACACACTCAATGCCTGGCGCACAGTAGGTGCTCAGTCGTTGCACTGCCAGTGTAGGGGGTGTGACACCCAGGCTGCCTCAGGCAAAGGTCAGGAACAGTCATGTTGGAGAGAAGGCACCCGTGCCTGACGGGGTGACGCTGAGAGGCGCACAGCAGAGCCGAGTTACCATGTAGCACTCACCACAACCCAGAGGAGCAAACACCTCGCTCCTGACCCTTGTCCTCCTGACCCTTGTCCTCGGTGCCTGTCAGTGGCCGCCTGCCTGAGGACAAGGCCTCCCTGTGGTTCCCCTGAAGCCGTTTGGGACAGGATGGATGGAACAGGCTCCATCAAACACACTGGGTGGGCTCCCCTGCCTCCCTCCATTCGCTGTGATTCCTTCTCTTCCAAAGACATTTTAATGAACATCTGAATTATTTACAGTGACCACAGGCATCACATTCCCAGGGTTTGGTGACCCAATGAATAAAACAGGCGTGTGTTTTGTCATCAAGTGGAGGCTGTGTGTGGGGACAGGCAGAGGTGGGAGGGTGCACACAAGCTCCTTTGTCACAAACCTTCTTCTCTCAGATCCTGTTGTGATGAGGAAGCCTTTGAAATGCAAGGGCCCAACATTCCAAGGTGCTGGGACATGTGCCCGCAGAGAGGAGCAAGGGGAGGTCTGAGAGATGCCCCGAGGCCTGGCAGCCTGGCTGTGGGCACACAAGTTGCTTCAGGCATTACAGGAGACCAGAGAGTCCCGAGCATCACCATTACAGCCAGATGCAAAAAATAAAATGCACTTTTCTGTTAAATTTTGACGAGAACCCATGCTGCTCTAAGTTCAGATTCCCTATAAGATCTCCATTTCATTGGTGAAAGAAATGAGGTCAGACTGAATAAATAACTTCACAGCCACAGAAAGGCAACTTAAATCCAAGTCCGATTCCAAACCCTATTCTCTCTCTGTCACCAGTTAACCAACTGGAAGTTGGAAGAAAGAATCGGGAAAGGAGAAGATAACCATGATGAAGATGAGACACACACACAGTGAGAAGTGACACGCTCACGCTGCCTGCATCTAAGCCGCACCTGGACGCTTCCTGACGTCACTGGCAGCTCACAGGGAGAGCGACTTAGCAAGTGTTCCAAGAGGTTCTTAACATCCTCAGGCTCCAGTGGTGAGATGAAATGCCAATGAAAAATGATGCAAAACATTTGCAAACAACAGAAGTGAAATTGTGGCTTTTTTGTTTTACCTGTATATTCTAACTATTAATTTGATATTAGTGACCATATATGGCTTTTGAAACCAAGAAAATGTTCCTTAGCACAGAGCAGGACGAGTGGTCTTACATTCATAGTTTACTGAGGACCAAGGTAGCAATGGCTGGTTTGACAGCCCTTATTCACCAGACTTGGGTCTTGGGAACCCCTATCCTCCAACAAAATTAAATGGCGGAACATAACTGTGCCATCGCTGCATGTCCTAGAGGAATGAAGGCAGTGCCCCCTAATGGTCCTGTGATAGACGTGGGCAGCATCCGTCACAGCACATCACAGGCTCACCCAGTTGTCTGCCGAACCAAATACAAGAGTTTAAAGAGCAAGGGGAACACTTTCTTCTCTAGGTCACCGGGCACTGCACTCGTCTGAGTCCCACCCCGTGCACTGGCCCCCCATCAGGAGGCTTTTATACTTGGTCACTCCCTCTCTCAATCCCGACTGAGGGCAGCTGCTTCTCTCAATCCCGACTGAGGGCAGCTGCTACATCCCTGTCTCAGCCTGGACCACGCCACTGACGTCCTCTCCCTACTTGGTATCTGTGCCTGGAGGACTGTACACATGTGCACATGTGACACTTCAGACCAAACTCCTGCTCTTCCCTCCAACCTGATGGTGCTGTAGTTCCCTCTCCTCATTCAAGGGCAGCTCTGTATTTCTATCTTCAGGCTCAGAACTTTGGGGTCTGTCTCACCCACACACCCAATCCACCAGCAGATCCTTTAAAATAGAACCAGAATCCAGTACCAGTACCTCCCTCTGGGTCAAAACACCACCACCTCACACCTGTTGCCTCCAGCTCTGCTCACCCATAGTCCACTTCTCACAGAGCAACCAGGGCAACCTTTTCAAGATAGAAGGTGGATTGCGTTCTCACTCGGCTCTATATCCACCAATGCTTTTCTATTCCATAAAAAGTAAAGCAAAAGTCTTTACAATGACCTGCCAGGTTGCACAAGATCTAAACCTCACTCCTTCTCTTTAAAGAGCTCCTCACTTCAGCGCCTCCCCACACACTCTGTCTGGTCCCACCACCTGGTCTCCTGGCTGCACTGAGCACACAGCTCCCCCCCCCCACACACACCTCAGGGCTCCTGTACGGGCTGTTCTTTGCTCTGGGAACACTCCCAGGGGCAGAGTTCTCTCACCTTCATCTGAGAAATGAATTTATATTTTCCAAAGGAAGTGCTTATAAAATGAGCAGACTCAGTGTCCAGCTATGGATTTGTTTTCTATTGAAAAGGGCACGTTCCGTGAAAGCAGACACCTCTCAAATTCCAAACCAAACCTGGCCCTCCAGCCCCAGCCACGCACCAGGAAAGTGAGATGGAAATTATAAGCTGAGATAAGCCAGGTGCCCTCCATCCCCATGAAGAAGGCTCGGGAAGGAGACCTCATGGCCCCAAACCTAGGTCTAAGGACCCTAGGAAGTCACCTGTGGTGTTTTTGCGGAAAAAGATACCCTTTGCCCAGTAACTTGAAGTGTAAGCTCTGGCTCTCTCAGGGGTGGCATTTCACTCTGATCCACAGCACAATAAGCACGCACAGCACCTAACAGAAGTTTCTAGTACAGGAAGGCAGACAAACGGACAGAGAGGAGTTCACATACGGCCGAGGCCTCAGAATGCAAGTCTCCCTACATCAAAATTCCGGGGGTAGTGCCCACCCTCAGGTGACACCTGCTCTTAGACCACGATGTGCACAGCGCTGTGGCGATCACCATGATCCCATGAAACAGGAAAACATGGCCAGGACACACCACTCTTCAGTGTGACTAATAGGGAAGAAAGTTCCATAATTAAGCTAAAAGGAACATTGGGCAGAAAAAAACATGGCGCATATTTACTTTAAATACAACTCGGAGAAGTTTCATGAGGAGACGTGTTTTACGTGGACTCTGGAGGAGGAGGGAAGTAAGAATGGAGGAGGAGGGAAGACCGAGGGTGTGCAGTTAGCCATTCATTCACAGGAAGCAGTTGCTGAGAACCTGTGTCACCTTAGCTATTACAGGCAGCTGTATGAGAGACCGCTAAAACCAAACATTTCCCACGTGGAACTCTTAGACCCCTTCCTCCCCGCTCCCCCCTGAATCCTCCATCTAATTAAAGGAGTGCACCCTTCACCCAGTCACTTAGTCCACAATGTAGGCATCTTCCTTGATTCCTCTTCTCTGATGTCCCTTCTACAATCCGTTGAACAGTAGGTGCTGCCACCGCCATGTTAGAATTACATTATGAGCTAGATCAGACCTTACCAAACCTACGGCTACACACGGAGCCAACCCCAGCCGTTTCTCCCCTAAATCACCACCAAGGCCCCTCCCCAAGGGCCCTGCCTCTGGGCCGCCACACTGTCCGGCGCCCTGCACAGGCCGATCCACGCAGAGCAGCCAGAGGGATCCTTTTAGCAGGGAAATCAGAGCAGGTCACTCCCCTCCAGGTGTTGAATAAAAGGGAAAACCCTCAGCAGGGCCCCGAGGTGCGTCCCTGCTCACTGCGCAGACTCCCCTCCCTCAGCATGGCCAGCTCTCCTGCCTCCAGAGTGGACACTGGCTGTTACCTCTTCTCAGAAAGTGCATCCCAGGAGCCTGGAAAGGCCGGACACTTCCTATCATGTGGGTTTGGGTTCAAGTACAACCTCCCAGACCGTCCTACCGACAGTAGCCGCATCCCACTGTCCAGACACGGACCCCACGGCATTTTCTTCTTCTTAGAAATCATGTTTGCTCTCTTGTTTAACACCTGGAACTGTCAAAAGAAAATAATTTCTCTGTGAGGTCAAGACTGTCATTCACCATCGTTTCTTCAAACCGCAGACCCTTGCCTGGCACACAGTAGGTGCTGAATACATAATTGTTTCATCGAAACAGTCTCGGGGCAGAATAAGAGTGACGACGGCATCACTTCCACAGATGAAAGTGACATTCCTACTCTGAGAAAAATTAGAGAGTAAACAGTTATTAGACAGAATCCCAGGGATCTTATAACCCCAGCAAAGGTGGAGAGCAGGGAGGGGAAATGAAGTAAGTGGGATCCTGGCTTTTCTTTTCCTCACTGTGTGTGACTTTGTGTGTGTGTGTTTTAAATGTATTTTTATTGATTTCAGAGAAGAAGGGAGAGAGAGAGAGAGAGAGAGAGAGAGAGAGAGAGAGAGAGAGAGAGAAACATCAGTGATGAGAGAGAATCACTGATCGGCTGCCTCCTGCACTCCCCACACTGGGGTTTGAGCCCACAACCCAGGCATGTGCCCTGACTGGGAATTGACCGTGGCCTCTTAGTTCATAGGCCAACGCTCAACCACTGAGCCACGCCAGCTGGGCCTAACTATGTGTGACTTTAAGTGAGCTCCTCAACCTCCCTCAGCCTCAATTTCTCATTTGTTCCAAAGATCAAATGAGATTACAATATAAAGAGCCCCCAAAGATCAGACCCTGACAGACACTGGTTCCTTCCATGCCTACTTCTCTCTTTCCCACGACAATCAATGAAATCTTGCATCTAAAACGGCACATTAATGACATCCAGCAGTCAGAACTGGGGACCTCCAAGCCAAAGAAACCTGAGAAATAGTTGGCACTTCCATGTAACAGAGGAGCGTAGTTCTATCAATAAATGCTCATCTATTTGAGAACTTAACACTAAAAGACACAAGGACACTTACAATGTCATAACCAAACCCCAATGAAAGGTCACCGTGGCCACCACTAATCCGTTTAGTCCTAGAACCCGGGCTGCACACCCAGGGCCACTGGGAGGTTGGGGCTGTCCGTGCGCTGACCATGGCGCCCACGGGGGGGACAACGCCAGCCCCCAGAAACGAAGCCTGACGCTGGGTCTCTATGCAGAGAAAGAGACACAACTTTGCAATTTCCCAGAAACGCTGCATGTGTTGAAGGCATTCTGAAGCAAAAATAAAAGGCACCCAAATTGGAAAGTAAAAAGTAAAACCATTATTTGCAGAGGGCGTGATACTGTATATATAGAACGCTAAAGATTCTACCAAATTTACTAGAGCTGATAAATGAATTCAGTCAAGCAGCGGGATACACAACAAATACCCAGAAATCAGTTGCATTTTATACACCAATAATGAACTCTCAAAAAAGGGAAACTAAGAAAACAATCCCATTTTGCATTAAAAAAATACCCAGGAAAAAATTAACCAAGGAGATAAAAGACTTGGAAAATAAGACACTGAGAAACTGAAGCTACAAATAAACGGAAGCATATACCGTCCGTGCTCATGGACGGGAAGAATTAACCTCATTAAAATGTCCATCCGACCCAAAGCAATCTATAGAGTCAATGCACTTTCTATCAAAATAAAATGGCATTTTTCACAGAACTAGAATAAATAATCCAAAAATTTATATGGAACCACAAAAGACCCCAAATAGCCACAACAATCTCAAGAAAGAACAGAGGTGGTGGTATCATGCTACCTAGAATCAAACTATACTCTAAGGCTACAGTAATGAAAACAGCATGGTACTGGAATAAAAACGGACACATACATCCATGGAACAGAATACAGAGCCCAGAAATAAACCCACACCTATACGGTCAATTAATAAATGACAAAGGAGACAAGAACATACAATGGAGTAAAGACAGTCTCTTCAATAAATGCTGGGAAAATTGAACATATGTGCAAGAAAATGAAATTAGACCAACTTCTTACATCATACATAATGAACTCAAAATGCATTAGAGACCATGTGAGACTAGAAACCATAAAACTTTTGAAAAATACAGGCAGTAAAAAAGTGCTCATTACATTTGTTTGATAACCAACTTGTCACTCCCCCTTAACACCCTTCCTTGGCCCTTTCTTCCCCTTTTCCTCCCCGGCCCAGCTTGCTGCACCCTTGGAGGACGCGTTTCTGACCCTGCACGGTGCCCGCCCTCCCTGCCTTTGGGCCTTTGCACCTGCTAAGAGGGGTTTCTCTGCTTTCACTCTGCCCCACCCCAGACCCTGTCTGTTCTCCACACAAAAGCCACATTGATTCAGCACATAGAGCAGATCATCTTACTCGCTGCTTCAAAACCCAGTGGCTCCACTGCTACTTGAATGTCACACGAAGCCTGACCATGGCCCGGGGCACCGGGTTACCTCGCCCAGCCTTCCTTAGATCTCATCTGTGCTCCTCCCTGCTGTGCTCTGTCACCGGCAGTCTCTCCGCCCACTGAATGACCAGCCCACTTCCCCTCCAGCCCGGCTTGCTGTGCCCCGGCCTCAAACGCTCCCCCAGCGCTTTGCAGGGCTGGCTCCTTTTCATGCCACTGAATGTCACCGCATTGGACCAGCCTTCCCTAACCTCTTAGCTAAAGCAGCTCCCACCCCACCAGGTGCTGTTTTCTGGACAGCACTTACCAGCGCCTGGTGTCGCTCCTGTTTGTTGCGTCTCACCCTGCAGGTCTGAGCTGGGGGAGGGCAGGGACTGTGTGCGGATCTTGAGAGTGGCGAACTCCGGGTTCAGTAGATGCCTGTTGACTTGGTGAGTCAATGAATGCGCAGACCACGTGACAGACACACATTTACACAGGCTCACACTCACCTCTGCACCTTCAGTTACAGCTGCACAACGCTCCACTCTTATCAGCAAGGTAGCCACTGTACCTCTCTGTGCACTGACTCCCGCACTGAGAGGCCTAACAGTATAAACACTTTCACCCCCACAACACACATAAGTGCGTGTGCACATGCGCGCGGTTTTCTGCAACATCTTATTCCCACCAGCAATACAGACCCTGACTGCCTTTGCCAGGACAAGCCTCACTGCACCGTGATGCGTTCTTTTTCCTAGTCCGCTCCCAGCGCTCTGGATTGTGCCACTTCTGTAGCTTCTGCAAGAGTCCACCAATCCCAGGCCACGACTGCGCTTCTTCCGGGAGCACCTCCTAAGCTACAGAAATGTCTCACCATTCTACTGGACACCTGTAACTCACAGTTTTCAATGTCAAGTATAACTGAAATATACAAATTAATGATAAAAAACATCAAAACTAAACCTAAACTTTTAATTTGTTTTAAAATAAAAAAGCCACACAGCTTCACCCTATGAAACCTAGTCCCGTTTATGACAAATGCCAATGAAACTACAAGTTTCCTCACATTAACTCATCCCTTTATACATCAAGACTTAGGCTTTTTTCTCTCAAAATCCTTTTTTGATCAGCCCTGGCCGGGTAGCCCAGTTGGTTGCAGCAACATCGCAATACACCAACGTGGCTGGTTCAGTCCCCAGTCGGGCACATACAAGAATGCACAAATAGTGGGTCAACAAGTTGATGTTTCTCTCTCTCTCTCAATCCCTTCCCCTCTCTAAAATCAATACAGAAAACATTTTTTAAATCCTTTTTATCAAATTAAGAGATGTACTTCATTTACACATGCACAAAACAATATGTATTACAAAAAAAAAATTTCTAAGTAGAAGTAGAAACTTCTGCTTTCCACAGACCAAAGCAACTAAAACCTTATTTGGGAAATTTTGAAAACACAATCTATTGTTTTTGTAATCTAACAACACACATTTTTATTTATTGTTAACAATATCTATTTTACAACAGACAAGTATACACAGACTAAAACAGCAGGGCTCCCACGTGCAGCCCGAGCCACACTGGAAGCCTTAGAACCATTTAGTGCTCTGACAGCAGGACTGCGCGGGTGGAGCAGGAATAAATAATAGTGCTTTTGGGAGAATCGTAGTGACAGTAGAGTAGCTAAGGACGGGGCCCCACTGAGGACGGTGCAGTGGGAACTATGCCCCAGGACTGACATGTGCAAAGTTCTAGATCTCCCAACAAAGTGTCTAAGGACCACTAGGCCTGTGGTGGGCTTTCGTCTGCAGCCAGGCCGTGGTAATGAGCCTGCCCGGGGTTTCAAGCACACCTACACTGAGAGAAAGGAAAGCCACCCCGTGTAACTGGGTCCAGTCTAGGCCAGGAAGCCACAGCTAGCTGACTGATCAGGGCTTCTTAGGGATGGATGTTGGTTGAATTGAGGATTCGGGAAGTAGCATCAGAATTGGAGGCCTTTGAAAGTTCTCGCTGTGGAAAAATAAACACCGTCAGGGGCGATATTCCCTCTCATGCAAGCCCGCCCTCGTCAGCTTAGGTTAGGTGGCAGCGTAGGCCCCTGAGGGCCGCTTCTCTGACACAGGTGCATAGCACGGGCTGTGTTAGGAACGATGGGGAGGCACTCTGAGCACCATTCCATTAGTCACAGGTTAAGCACGTGACCCATCCCTCAGCCAGTCCATGTGTTAAAACCCCACAGAAGAGAGATCCCTTTTGTGTCAGAAAGTACTCTGAGTTGCCGAGCTGGGTTGGCAACAAGCTTTGGCGTCTGAGCCCTTTATAAAACAATGGGCCAGACCACATATCTACCAATCCCTGGGGCCGAGGGCCTTGTAACCTGCCGGTGATCTGATCTCATGCTGGAGCACATGGTACAGAAGGAGCAGAGAAAGCACAGAGGACCACGAGAAGGACAGGTGTTAGTGGAGGTTAGTCTACTGGCTGCATGCGGCCTGGCGGAGGCTGCCACCCACAGCAACCAAAACCACGTGCCCCTCCTTCGGCTTGACCACAGGTGAGCAGCTACAGGTGAGCTCCAAGTGGGCGAAATGGGGCTTGACTGAGCAAGCCAGAGAGACGCCCGGACCCGCAGTCCAGCATTCAGCCAGCCAGAGTGCACCCAGGTAGAACCACAGCAATCATGTAATTTAAAAAGGTGCCAGAATAGGAAGCTAACTTCAGGGCTCAAAGCGAGCTGTAGCCATGGGCAACTGGGCCATTCGCCATCTCCCAGCAGGAAGAGAGCTGGCACCCACGCCTGTAACTCGGCATCCCCAGGGTAAGGCAGCCTCGTCCTCTCAGCAGGAAGCTACTGAGAGAAGAGAGCACGCCCCTTAAGTAAAGGGCATTGCAGGGAAGTGTTGGTAAATATGGAGGAGGATACAGGAGCTGAAGAGCATTCTGGGAAAATGACTTTCTCCCACAGCCTCATATGCTTTAGCAGCTCAATGGGATAGAAACAGGCAAAGGCGAGGAAGTGAGCGTTGGCCAGCTCAGAGCGGACAGACAGGTGGCATTCAGCCCCGAGGGTTAGTAAGGCACATACTCCAGGGGAGAAACATCACGTAGGCCAAGAACCTCATTCTAAGCAGCACACAGCTGGGGCTCCCCTCCCAGGCCAGGGGGCCGCTATTCTTTCCAGCACATGGGAGGCCTCTGATGGCACCATCGAGATGCTGAAAGCTTTCTGTTGTGAATAACACGATACAAAAACTTTGCCTGACGGTAGGTGGGGCTGAGAATCCAATCCAAGTCTGCACAAGTTTTCTTGTGAATCGGCAGGTTAGGGTACAGGAACTGAAGCCGGTGACTGGTTATGCGTCTGCCTCGGGAACTCCTGCTTCCTTTGTAAAAAGGGCCTGTGGTCCCACAGCCGACGATTACTGGTTAGTGTAGCCCTGTGCCCAGATGGGAATGAAGCCAGCAGACGACAGACTGGTTTGAGAAAGGGACATGGGACATGCAGGGGTTGCCATACAGACCTGAAGCCCAACAGTGGAGCTGTCAGAGAGGGACGGATCCTTCTAAGAACAGAGAATTAAGACAATTACCAAGAACTCCACCAAGAGAGCACCATGGCAGTGCTGAGAAGGGTCGCCTCCTGCAGCCAGGGACTGGTATTTCTCAAGCAGAAGGATCCGGGTCACATGTCTACTTGCTGCTGTCAACTTCCTATACCTCCCGGAAACCCCCCCACCCCATGCACGGCCAAGGCAGGAAAGGGATTCTCAGCCCCCAAAACGCTGTCCTAGCTGAGCGCCTGGGGCCCCGCGGGAAGACACCCACGGCCCCAACTGTGTGCTCCCCAGAGACTGGCAGATACTAGAAAAGGTCAATTACCGCAAACTCAGAGTAGGTGCTGGCAACAGAGTTAATGCTGAAGTTGCGCTGGAGGGGGGCCGAGCCGGGGTACCCACCGCTCAGCAAGCTGCCATTGAGCTCCAGGTTCTCCTTGTCGGCTCCATGCCGACCAGCACGGGGGTTTTTCTTCCCTGAACAGGTGGAAGTGAAGATTGGCTGTGGGGAAAGGAGAGATCAGCATTTATCCTTATAATGGCCACACACGCGCGCGCACACACACACACACACACAGACTATACCATCTTAATATCACTCATTGTCGGTAACCCTATACAGTACTTGATGTAAAAAACAAATGAACAACCAAAAAACTCTTAATGATTTGCAGAACACCTATCTTGAGCATCATCTGTAAAACACATTACAGCACAGACTCCCCTCCTGTCGCTTCAGCGAGGGGACCCGATTGCCTAGTGACCCAGTGTCAGGGCTGGAACCCACGTGCAGGGCCCTTGCTCAGCAGCCCCTGAAGACCTGGCTTTGAACTGAGTCTGTGGAGCCCACCAGCTCCCTCCAGCTTCCCAGACCCCTCCCAGGGCTCCCCCACGATACCAGTGGGGCTCAGCATGGCCATGCTCTTCTTTCTCTCATTCGGTTTTAGCTTAACCAGCTTGCATCTGCCAACTCGCAGCATCTCAGTGATAACTGAATCCAGGGGTCTTAGAAACTGGAACCAGTAGGCGGGGCCCCTGGATAAACAGGCTGGGGTGGTGCTGGGGACGGGCTGGTACGCAGAGCTTACTAACCTTGCTGCCAGAAGGTGGAAGTCGAGACACGGGGGAGCGGTAGACTGTCCCCCCAAAGGCAGGCCGAATGCTACTGTTGGCCGTGGCATTGGACATGGTGGTAGTGTTCAGCTGAGAAAGAGAGAGAGATTACTCATTCAGGGAACATGATCAGCAATCCACCCCCAGACGACAGAGAAATGAGTCTGGGAAGCATCTAACAAAGATGCATTTCCATAAAGAGCTTTGAACAAACTTGTGAAAAGTGTTCAGAGCCTATTAATGTCTAGTACACGGAGCTATAAAACGGTATAACCGTCTGTTTCTAAAACTAGACAGACACCTATCATATGACCCAGCCCAGGAGAAATGAAAGCACAGCTCCATACAAAGACTCAGACAGAAATATTTATAGCAGCTTCATCTGCAATAGCAACAAACCAGAAACAAGCCAAGATATTCGTCAGGCGAGTGGATAAGCCAACCACATAGTCATACAGTGGATGCTGCTCAACCATAGAAAGCAGTGACCTACTGATGCGAGCACCACCATGATGCATCTCTCAAAATTATGCTAAATGGAAGAAATTATGCTAAGTGAAAAAAAGCCCTATATATGAGTCTCTATATATAAAATGTTAAAAAATGCAAATTACTCAGTAGTGACAGAGCAAATTGTGTTTGTCTGGAAATGGGGGGAAGAGGACTGGACAATGGGTACGTTCACGGTCTGGACTGTGGTGAGTTTCGAGGCGCATACATGTCAGCCTTTATTGAGCGTCCACTGTAGACACTGTGTGTCCATCTCACTCAGTAAAGCTGAGCATTTTTTACACGAAAAAGTCTAGGTGGGTTAAAAACCTCAAATGGGATAGCAAACCTGTTCAAACACAAGACACAGACTAGGACACACAACACAGGAAAAGGTATCTGTTCAAGTACAAGCCCTAAAGAAAACAGGCTGCTAACACGATTACTGTGTTAAAATTAAGAACTTCCTGTTCACCAAGGAAACACCATAAAGAAGAAAAAGACAAGCCGCACAAGAATCCTGGGAAAAGCTACTGTAACACAACTGACAGGAGCAGCATCCAAAACAAAGAATTCCTACAAGCCTTGTAAGAAAGAGACAAATGTTCACTTCATCAGTAAGCAGAGAAATGCAAACCAAAATCATAATCAGACATTACTTCAGACCCATCAGGTGAACAAGAGTCTAGAAGTCGGAAAGTCCCATGTGTCAGGCCTGCACCGGAAGCACAGACTGTGTGATTAGTGCAGCTGAAGCTTCAGAAATGAGTGTTGGGCTTCTGGTCAAGATGGCAGAGCAGACAAACGCTTGCCCCCTCCCAGGACCACAGCAAAAGGACATCTAGACAACAGAACCACCATCACTGAGGACGCCAGAGGCTACCTGACCTGCAGTCCTGTCGAGATTGGTGGGAGGGCAGAGAGGAGGAACGGCAGGTCCCACACCCACTGCGGGTGGGTGATTGGTAGGGACGTCAGCTCTGGAGGTTCCCCTCTGAGGAGCCAGGGGTCCCTGCCCCAAACGAGGCCCCCAAACCCAAGGCTCCAGGGCCAAGAAGAGAAGTCCCATAACTTCTGGCTGTGAAAACCAGGGAGGATGGTGGATGAGTGAGACCGAGGGCTGCCGGAGGCCCACGTGTTCCTCTTAAAGTGCCCACGGACGTTCTCACACTAACTCGCTCTAGGCTGGGGCAGCAGCTCGAAAACATCAGAAACATACGGGGAGGAACTGAACTGTCTGGCTTTGAGGCAAGAGCGGAAGAGGCAGCTTTCTCCCAGACAGCGTGCTGGCAGATGCCACTGTTTCTTTGCTGAGCCCACCTCACCCTGCAGGCACAGGTGGGCATCATATCCGAGCCTCCATTAATTTGACTAACACTTTCACCGCATGTCCATACAAATGGCCCATCTTGGCTCCTGATGTAGACTCTCCTAAAATCTCTTTAAAGTCCACAAACCCCAAACAAGAACCATCTGACTTCAGTGCGCCCCCAAACCTCTTGCCAAGCAGCCCAAGCCTGGCCCTGGGGGCAGCAAGCCTCAGTTCACAGATTGGCCCCTCCTGGGCACCTGCAAGCCCAGCAATCAGTACCAACCATCTGCAGATCGCGGTCTCTCATGCCAGGGCCCTGGGCAGGGCATAATCAGCAGCTGACCTTAGCCTGCACCTCCCAGGAGGCCCCACAGCCAGCACACCCAGTGGACAGTGTCAGACCAGACCACACCAGAGCCCAGCTGAAGTGAGTCCTCCTCTCCACGGGGGGGGGATGCTGAACAGCAGTTCCTCCCCTGTAGCTATAGCCAGTCCTCAAAGCCAATCAGTTTAGGGGTAAATCCCCGCCAATAGAGATCAAGGCTCCACTACAACTGGCCGGTGCACACAGACCACACAGGGCAGATGTACCTGGAGCGCCAGCCCAGGTGACTGGGATGTGCACCATGGGCCCTCCAGGACACCTACCACCTACATAAGGGCCCTCTACCAAGACGGGAAGATGCAAATAAATGGCAATAAATACCTATCACCAATTACTTTAAACGCAAATGGAGCAAATGCTCCAATCAAAAAGACATATGGTGGCTGAACGGATAATGAAACAGACCCTTCCACGTGCTGACTACAAGAGACTCCCTTCAGATCAAAAGACACACAAAGTCTGATAGTAAAGGGATGGAAAAAGCTATTTCATGAAAAAGTTGGTGTGGCAATACTTACAGCAGACAAAACAGACTTTAAAACAAAGGCTATAAGAGACAAAGAAGGACCCACCAATTCTACTTCTGGGTATGCATCTGAAGGAACCCAAACACTAATAAGACATATACATACCTATGTTCCTTACAGCATTATTTACAATAGCCAAGAGACAGAAGAAACCTAAGTGTACATCAATATATGAAAGGAAAATTAAGTGGTAGCCCTAGCCGGTTGCTCAGTGGTTAGAGCATAGCCCTGTGGACCCAAGGGTCCCAGGTTCAATTCCCGGTAAAGGGCATGTACCTCTGTTGCAGGTTCGATTCCTAGCTCTGGTTAGTGTGCGTATGGAAGGCAACTAATCAATATGTCTTTCACATCGATGTGTCTCTCTCCACCCTCATCTCCCTCCCCTTCTACTCTCTCTAGAAATCAATGGGAAAAAGATCTCTGGGAAAGGATTTAAAAAAAAAGAGTGGTATATACATATAATGCAATATGACTCAATCATAAAAAAATAATCTCTTGCCACCTGCAACAACATGGATGGACCTTGAGAGTATTATGCTCAGTACAATAAGTCAGAGAAAGACAAATACCATATTATTCACTTATATGAAAAATCTAAAGAACAAAATAAATAAACAAAACAGAAACAGACTTATAGATACAGAGGATATTTTGACGGTTGCCAGAGGGAGGAGGGTTGGAAGGCTGGGTGAAAGGGGAAGGGATTAAGAAGCACAGATTGGTGATTACAAAATAGTCCTGGGGAGGGAAAGCCCAGCACAGGGAATACAGTCAATAACATAGCTACGTAACAGCCATGTGTGGTGCCAGGTGGGCACTGGACTTATAGGGGTGATCACATTTTAAGTTATTTAAATGTTCAGTCACTGGGTGGTACAGCATTATATTAGTTTCAGGTATACACCAACTGTAATTACAAAATAAAAAATACTGTAACCCTGGCCGAGTAGTTCAGCTAATTAGAGTGTTGTCCCAACACACCAACACTGCAGTTTGGTCCCAGGTCAGGGCATATACAAGAATCAACCAATGAATGCCATCAGTAAGTGGAACACAAATCATTGTTCTTCTCTTTCTCCCCCTTCCTCTCTCTCTGAAGTCAATTAAAAAAAATAATCTATATTTAAAATTAAAATAATAAATTAAGAAACAAGAAACATATGAGGGCAGCACTTTGACAGCAAGGATAGCCCACCTGGTAATCTTAGCAGAGAGATTCTCAAACCTTTAATTAAAATAAGCCTTTCTAGAACAGAATATTAGTGTTTTTATGTATGTTTTTAAAAGCTCACCACATTATTTCCATAATAATATTGAACACCAGGGAGCTAGTTTCATAAAATGTTAAGAGGACAGAACAAGTAGCTAACAATGAACATGTACTTGAAGAAAGTTTGATGCTATGAAGAAAAACCCACAAACAATATAAAATAGGCAAAAAGGCAGAAATCAAAATTATATAATGTGAACTCTACTTTGTAAATACACATTATTATTAAAAGCTGTTTTAAGCCCAACCAAGGTGGCTCAGTGGATGAGCATCGACCTATGAGCCAGTAGGAAGCATGCTCGGGTTGTGGGACTGATCCCATGTGGGACATGCAGGAGGCAGCCGATCAGTGATTCTCTCTCATCATTGATGTTCCTATCTCTCTCTCCCTCTCCCTTCCTCTCTGAAATCAATAAAAAAATATTTTTTAAAAAGCAAGACAAATACCAAATAGTTTTAGTACTCTTCTTGGAATTATGGTACAGGTGCTTTTAAAATGGTTTTTATATATTATAAAGTACCAGAGGCCCAGCGTGCGAAATCATGCGAGACCCAGAAACCCTCCGCGCCACTAGATCCATCAATGCACCTCCTGGTGACTGGTCGTTTGGTCGTTATGGTGTTACAGTCACTGGCTTTTTATAATGTAGATGAGTAGAAGGAGAAGAGAAATAATGCTCCAATCTCAAATGGACTCAACTGAAGTCTCCACAAACCCTTCCCCTTCCCTGCAGGACAATCTCTGCAGGACAGATGGCGAGAGCCGGCGTGGCCCGCCCTCCACACGCCCTGTCACTAGTGGGCCACGGCGCCTCCTTACCTTGCGCACTTTGCCCGGGGTGGTGGGAGTCATTCCCCGCCGCTTGTTGGGTGTCCTGGGAGTACTGCCGTACAGCATCTCTGTCTCTGTCTGCTTCTTGTTCTTCAGTTGCTGTGTGACAGAGGCAACAGTGACACATCCCAGGGACAGAGCAGGTCTGGCTGCTCACATGACCACCCTCCCCTCTTCCCAAACTGGGTTCACGTACCCTTTCCTGCTTGGCTCGCTCCTTCTCTAACCGATGCGTCTCCCACTGCTCAGTCACGTACTCCATAAACTTCTGCCCATTGACCACGAACGCTGCTGAGTGCTTCTGTTCCCACATCTCGATCTGGGCCTTCAATTCCTCTTCCAGCTGAGACCAGACACAAGCACGTGTTATTTACTTCAAACCTTTGGTGTGAAGCCTGAAGGAAATGACTCCTCCTTCCCGAGCTTCACCAGGCTGACTCCGGGCCGGACCCACTTGGGGAAATGTCAGAGTAGCTGACATCAAAGGCCAGGGATGGTGTGTTCACAATACACAGCCCAGCGTCGCCACTGGTTTTGGAGCTGAAAGTGAGAGCATGGCGTGCAGTGAGGGCAGCACCATCTGGGTCAGGCCTGGGCCCTGCCTCCTGCGAGCCGGGAAAAGTGGGCAAGTTACCTAAGTTCTCAGTGCCCCGTTTCCTCATCGTAAAAATGGAAAGCACTTTGAAATAATACCTGGCTCTTCATTCAGTGAATACTATTATCATTATTAAAACAGAGAAGATACTTAAGCCCTTGCTAAAGATAAAGCGCTTGCTCTGTGTTATCGGCTGAACTGTGCCCCCTCTCCACCCCGTTCATATGTTGAAGTCTAACCTCCAGTATCGAGGAATGTGGTTTCATTTGACGTGTGAAGACAGGGAGAGACAACCGCCTACAAGTTTTGGAAGAAACCAGCCTGCCTAGGCCTTGATCTGACTTCCAGCCCCAGACGTGTGAGAAAATACATGTCTTTGTTCAGGCCGCCCAGTCGGTGGTATTTTTATGGCTGTGCTAGAAAAGTAATACACCTTGACATACAGCTGCTTATGCCAGTAAGTCCCCGTGTTTCTTATCCTTGCCTAACCCTTGAAAGAGAAGACAGTTTGGGGCAAATGATTCAAAGCAAAGAATCCACAAAAAGTGAGGTATTTTGTAGTCAAGCACCAAAACTATTAACACTATTACCTTAGGGAGCGTTTTCTGGAGCCTGGCTCGTTGCTTTTCCTCCTTCAGAAGATTTCCTCCTCGATTTGTAAATCGACTTGGATCTGATGCTTTTCTCTGAAAATACATTTTAATTAGAGTAAACCCTGGAACAAGCAATCAGACCAATCCCTTCTGCTAGGACTCGGATGTACATTACTAACCCACTGTAAGCTATAAGCGTCTATAGACGCAAGCAGTGGACCTTCCCTACATGCCACGCGCATCTATAAAAAAAAAATTTTCCCTAGGCGGCAGCCCTGACCAACTTTAAAATCGTTTTTCGTGAAAATTTTCAGCTGAAAATATTCAAGAACACCCGAATTGGGAGTAATATATTTATTTTTATAATATTCATTGCAAATTGACTTTTTAAATTAAATTCAAAATATCATGGCGTGTGGAGATGGTTTCCATTTTGGACGCGTGGCAGTTAACTGGTTAAGGAGACTGAGGTTTGCATCCCCACTCCCTCTGAGCAGTGAGGAACAGAGGGGGCCTAAGGCAGGGGAGCTGGGTGTGAGCACATCCACTTGGTGCAGGAAAACCAGTGCTTCCTTTGTCATCTAAAAAGGAAGACAGGCTTCAATATTAGCGCACCACGTCACTGGCTCCATTCCTTGGTTCAGATGTCAAAAGATTACATCACCTACAGGAAATGAGCTGTGTGGAGGGACAAGGGAAAGGTCTACACTCAGAGCTTGGTGGGCACCCTACCTGTCCACTCTCTTTCGGCCTATTGAGACAATGCAGCTTAAATATGCAAGGTTAAGGGCTATAGACAATCTGGTTTTCACTGAATTGACCCTCACAAAATGGACAAAAAAATATAGTATGTTAGGCTTATTTTTTGGTTTTTTTTTTTTTTAATTCTATCATGTATACCAGTTCAGTATACCAGAACAGTAATAAAAGCATATAATTTAGAAATATAAATTAGATGTGTACACTCAAAATTAGGGCAGGTCATCAGAAAAGCAGAACCAATCCTGACCATTTGCTAAGCTTGTGAAGAAATTCCATTCCCCTCCCAGCCTGCTGGGTCGGTGATGGCCTAGAAACAGTACCTACAAGGGACGGGAGTTAGTCTCTCACTTTTTCTTAAACACTTGCATGTCAACAAGGGCTACGTATTTGGCTCTTTACTGACAGTTATTCCTCCTCCTTCTTGCTTTCAAGCAGAAGTCAGGGGTCACTGAGGACGGGGAAACCTGTCCTGAAACAGCTGTAAGGTCTCACACAGTTCTCCCACTTCTGAGTCCTGGTCTCCCGCCTGTAAATGTGAAGTTGAACGCAGGACTCCCTGAAGGACCCATTGGGCTCTAACAGGGCCAGCGTGAACCTGAGAGCAAGGCTGCTTGAATTTTGTGTCCGCTACGCCGCCTCCTAGTCCCAGCCCCGAGCTCTAAAATGCTCTGAGGGAACCTGCCTGTGCTATATCGATCAGAAGAAACGGAATTCAGTATACAAATGTGCACTAAACCCAGGCAATTTTCTAAGAAAACAGCAAGTGTTGGAAGAGAAAATACTACTTGCCTGGCCCAATATCTATCCTTCACTCCCTCCTCAGTAACAGAACCCGAACTCCTCTGTGGCAGCAAGACCGCCATGCTCACAGGTGTGGCGTATGAGCAGAGATGCTGGGACCAGAGCCTGGAGAGCCCTTCGAGGGGCTGTCAGGACAGTGCTTCTGTGTCCCTTTCTCCACATGGCGCCCGAGGGCTGTGGTGGGAGCTCGAGGGCCAACCAGAACCTGAGGATAAGGGCCATGAGCCGGAGAAGCCTGGGACCCACTGACTGTGGAACTGCCACACCTGCCCAGCAGCCCCCTCTGGACTTCCTTTATGCCAGAAACTTCTACCTTAATGAAGCCATTTGTTCGGGGTTTTTCTCCTATATGTTCCTGTACATAAGCCTCACAAATACAGATGGGTCAGTCAGTAGTAAGCTAGAGACGTAGTGATGAAGATACTGGTATTAGAAACTCAGTAAAGAGAAAAGGAGACTGACTCTATAAAGGACATGCTTTCTTTCCTTTTTTTTTTTTATCCTCACCCAAGGATATTGTTCCATTTTTAGAGAGAGGGGAAGGGAGGGGGAGAGGCAGAGAGAAACCATCCACAGATGTCTCTCTCACATCAACTGGTTGCCTTCCCGACGCTCCCCAACCAGGACCAGGGATTGAGCCTGCAACAGATTGAGAGGTAAGTGCCCTTGACCAGAACTGAACCCAGGACCCTCCAGTCCGCAGGCCGACACTCTATCCACTTAAGCCAAACCAACCAGGGCAAAGACATGCTTTCTTCATACTTCATTGTCCTCTAAGGAAAACAGAGGAAAGTGAGGGCAGTACCTCAAACTCTAAGAAAAGCCGCCAGCTTTCTTCCCACTTCTGCACGCCTTCAAAGAGTTCTTTGTGAACCTCGTAGTAGTTTCTTAACCGCACAACCTCAGCGTCATGGACCTGGAGCAGACTTTCTGTGTAGTCCTCTGCAAGATAGAAGCCCAGGAGTTTTAAAAATCCCTCTAGTGTTTAGCATCTTACTTTCTAACCCCTCATTCCCTAAACTGGAAATAGATTATCCTTCACTATAGTAAAAACGTTACATGAATAAGTATACACTGTGGATAATAAAAATCTGGTTTTTCACCATCAGCCTGGAGGGACTAGGGAGTAAGGACCTAAAGTGTGGACTAAAATGACTAAGACTCGCAACGCTCTGTGTCATCTCTCACCTTCTCTTAGCTTTCTTTCATATCCTTTGTTTCCACCCTGCTCAGTAGTGGGCTGGGTCACAGAAAATGTCCCCAATGTGGAATTTATTAGATAGCCTCATCTTTTTTTTTTTTTAAATATATTTTATTGATTTTTTACAGAGAGGAAGGAAGAGGGATAGTTAGAAACATTGATGAGAGAGAAACATCAATCAGCTGCCTCCTGCACACCCCCACTGGGGATGTGCCCGCAACCAAGGTACATGCCCTTGACCGGAATCGAACCTGGGACCCTTCAGTCCGCAGGTTGACGCTCCATCCACTGAGCCAAACCGGTTAGGGCGATAGCCTCATCTTTATACTCAGTTCAGGTCAGACTAGAATTCTGCTGGGCTCTGGGGTCAGACTCTGTGGCCTTAACTGTGAGCTCTGCCCTCTACCCACTCTGCCTCGGGTTCAAGTTGCTCAACATTTAGGCACCTGTGTCCTCATCTCTTGACATGAGATTGAGATCTTATTGTTAAGAGTTTGACATTGCACCTGGCATAGAGTAAGCAGGCGCTGATAAACTTGAGCTTCACAACTACAGGCTACAGTGATAAGCTGCTTCAGAAATCAAGACATCCCTTATTTCCCAGGAGCATCTGCAAATGCTCACTGATACAGGAATGACAACTTATGGTGAAAGACTTGAAAAGGTAGTTCTATCTGTCCAGCAGAGGAAACACTTTCTGGTGAACATGTGCACTTCTTTACAAGTGCAGGCCACATCAAGGCCACCGCTCCTGCACTGACCATCATAATAAGCAGCAAAAGCTTGTCTCTGCTCCTGGCTGTAGAAACACTGGTCCCAGTACTTAGCCAGCTCCACTCGTATCGCCTCAATCACTTTCTTCATGTTTTGCATTTTCAGTTCCTCCAAGCGATCCACTTCTAATTGCAGCTGAAACACAGATATCGGGTAAAGGGGCTTGTTATACGTTTACACTCACAGCGCTTTGCAAAATTTTTCCATTTTTATTTATTTATTTTTGTTAATCCTCACCCAAGGACATATATATTTTTAATATATTTTTATTGATTTCAGAGAGAGAGGGAAAGAGAGACAGAAACATCAATGATGAGAATCATTGACTGGCTGCCTCCTGCACGCCCCCTACTGGGGATCGAGCCTGCAACTTTGGCATGTGCCCTTGACTGGAATCGAACCTGGGGACCCTTCAGTCGCAGGCTGACCCTCTGTCCACCAAGCCAAACCGGCGAGGGCCAAGGATATTTTTCCATTCATTTTTTTCTTTTTTAGGGAGAGTGAAAGGGAGAAGGAAAGACAAGAGAAAAACATCAATGTAAGAGAAACACATCAATTGGTTGCCTCCTGCACGAGCCCCGATGAGGGCCCGGGCAGGTGAGGAGCCTGCAACCAAGGTACGTGCCCTTGACCAGAATCGAACCGGGACCCTTTGATCCACAGGCCAACACTCTATCTACTGAGCCAAACCAGCTAGGGCAAAAATTTTCCCTTTTTAAATAAAATTACAGCACAAAATCACAGAGGTAGGCTGACACTCTAACAATGCTATCAAAGGAGCCAGAAACCTAAGAAAGGTACAGGAAAGATAAAAGATGAACAGGTTACTGCCACGTTTTTCTGATGCTTGCTTTAAAATAGACTTGCTTGCCCTGGCCGGTGTGTTTAGTGGTTAGAGCGTTGGCCTGTGCACTGAAGGGTCTCAGGTTTGATTCCAGGTCAAGGGCAGGTACCTGGGTTGCTGGTTTGATCCCCAGTCTGTCAGGGCGCATGTGGAAGGCAGCTAATTCATGTGTCTCTCTCACATCATTGTTTCTCTTCCTCCCTTCTACTCTCTCTAAAAATCAATGGAGAAAATATCCTGGGGTGAGAATTAAGAACAACAAAAAAAAGACTTGTTCAAGGCAGAAGTTGGTAAAGACATGGGATCAGACATAAAAATGCCTGTAGAGACTACCGACCCAGCACCCTATGGGTTTCCTACCGCTTTCTTAACTTTGGCCTTCGACCCAGTCATAATCATGGCCACAGCTTCTCGCTCTTCTTCTGGTATTTGCAGCCTGTCCCAGAGCTCCCGGATCTGAGCACGCAGCCCCTCGCACACTGCTTCGTTTTGTGATTTCCGCATTTCCAGCTGTGGCAAGGAAAGACAGTGGTCACGGCAAAGGCAGCAGCTGAGGCTAGCCCTCTGGCTTCCCACAGTATCTGGACCCGATACAGAATAAGCACTATTACAAGATTGTGAAGAGGTGTGTTTTCATGACTTCTGAACACAAACTATAAGTCTGTCATTTACAGCAGGATCTCAGACCCCAAGAATTAGAATTCAAATTTTGAAATAAAAAAAATTATTTTTCAGGTGGAGGAGGGCAATGGGGGGAAAAAAGAGGAATATCTATAATAATCTCAATAATAAAGGTTTAAAAATTTTTTTCAATTAAGCACTAATTCAATGACTATTATTTCATCCATAAATTCATATTCTTACAGCTACATATAAATTAAGTTTTTTGTTTAAAAAAAAATCAAGGTTGTATAGCATATACTATCTTTATCCTCCCTCCCTCATTCTCTTAACCTACATTGGGTCCTTATATAACACTGAGCGGGAAAACTGTCACTTTTTTCAAATTGCTGGTTACTATGGAGATGAGATCCCAGGCCATATTCCGAATAGACATTACCTGCTGTAGCAACTTCTGTAGTGCTGCAATATTTTCCAAAGATAAACAAAAGGCCTCTTCATCTTCACACACCACATCTCGTTCGAAGCTTGTGTCTGGGGTGTGATCTAATTCTTCCATGCACAGTATGATCTGTCTCTTTATGTTGACAAACTCCTCACGCCGAGATGCCTGTAAAAGCAAATGATCAGAAGATACCCACAGGAAAGTCAAGCTGACCTTTAGGAAGCATGGTGCAAGGTGTATACCTTTGTTTCCCGCAAAGTTGCCAAATGTTTTCTGAACTGGTTCAGCTCTTCCAGGCTGGGAACGGAATCGCTGTCAATTTCATAGTGTGGCATGCAAAGAACTTCACACAGTTCTTGATCCTGTTCTGTAAGTAGTTTCAGTTCACGTTTCCTCTCCTTTTTCTGTTTGCGCATCAGCTCCACCTGAGTGCGCAAGTCTTTTTCCAGCTGCAAGATGGTCGGCTCTCCTTCCTCCTGTAGAAGAGGATATACCGTTGTTACAGGGTTCCAAGTGGATTTCCTCAAAGGAAGAGCAGGACAACAAAAGAGGGCTAAATGACAGACTTCTGGTTAAACTTACAAATACATCAATTCATGGCACAGTATCATCTATGCCTAACTTTTCCTCAGAATTAAAAACAAAAAAGTTGTATATGCCTCACAGACTGATAGCAAGAGGAAGTGTTTTAGACTAAAGCAGGCAACACTCATCAGCTGATTCACCTCTGGCAAGCTGTCCCTCCTGGGAGCACACCCACGCCTTTCTCCCCTCCCCCGTGCATCTCGGAAACTCTAAGAGTCCCCAGGAGACTTACAATCAGGGGAGCAATGGGCAGCGTCTTGTCCCGGGCCAACCCCTTGAGCCTGTCTCCAAGGCCCCTTCTCTCTGACTTCCCGGAACAGCTCCCACAAGACTCTCTCTATTTCTTCTACCCTAAGCCCTTCCTTGTTTCGCTGTCCCCAGCTTTAATAAACAAACTCTCAAAAAAATAAATTAGCTGCTTCACCTCTCAACAGGGCAACTCTTTACGCCAGTAAAATGACTGCTGGAACTGGCTGGCCAGGCAGCACATTTCCCCCACTTCTCGTGTCCTGGACCACCCTGACACAGACACCCTCCACTCAGCCCCCAGGCAAAGCTCCTGCCTCAATCTCAGACCCAAACAGGAGCCCGGACCGTGTACCTGAAATGGCTCAACACGCAACTCGCTGCACAAGACAGCCAACTCTTTTTGACAGTTGCCTATGCTTTTAATGAGCCTTTCCTTCAAACTTTCCTCTTCAGCAATCATCATATCCAGGAGGTCCTACCGGAGAGAAAAAAGCCCCATAAAAGTTTGGAACTAAGGGGGGAAAAATCCCAAATAACAAATAACACCAATAATTTCAAAATTTTAATACCCATATCCTCCTGCAAAGACACCAGCACTAAACTCACCTTGATATGCTTATGCACAACCTGAGTCCTTTGTAACCGCTGGTCCTCAGGAATCCCAATCAATTCCCATATTTCCCGAAGGTGAGTCAGGGCTTTCTGGAGACATAATATGGACTCCTCCGCAATCACCTCACTGGAAAGCAAAAGAGAAATCAGCTGCATGAGCCACTGCCTCTGACACACTAAGAGAAGTATTTACAGCCCTGGCTGGTGCTCAGTGGTTAGAGCATTGCACCGCAGACCAAAGAGCCTCGGGTTCGATTCCCTATCAAGGTATATACTTCGGTTGAAGGCTCGATCCCTGGCCCTGGTCAGGGTGTGAAAGGGAGGCAACCAATCAATGTTTCTCTTTCACATCAATGTCTCTCTCTCTCTCTCTCTCTCTCTGAAAAAAAAAAAAAAAAAGACTGTCCTGCACTAGAGATTGAGGTGTAGAGTAAGCATGTCAAACTTGCGGCCCACATGCCTCACTTATTTGGCCCATGTTAGCCTTTGAGTTTGACATGCTTAGTGTAGAGGACCTACCTAATACACAGTCACAAACCCAACAGAAAGCCAAAATGAGACAAAGAAACAACCCCCAAATGAAAGAACTAGAGAAGTCTCCAGAAAAAGAGATAAATGAAGCAGAGATAAGAAATTTATCTGAATCAGAGTTCAGAATAATGATGGTAAAAATGCTCAACAGCATGAAAAAAGATATAGTAACTATGAAAAAAGAACATTCTGAGATAAAGAATGACGTAACACAAATAAAGAACACATTGGAAGGAATATACAGCAGATTAGGGGAAGCTGAGGATCGAATTAGTGAATTAGAAGACAGAGTTGAAATATCACTCAGAGAGCCAAAAAGAAAAAAAAAAACAATTAAAAAACAGGACAGCTTAAGGGAGCTGTGGGACAATGTGAAACGTAACAATATTAGAATAGCAGGTGTGCCAGAAGAGGCAGAAAGGGAGAAAGGCATAGAGAAGGTGTTTGAAGAAATAAAGGCAGAAAACGTCCCTAAAGGAAAAAGTCACGTAAGGTAGGAGAACCCCAAACAAGAAGAATTCAAACAGGCCCATGCCCAGGCACATCATAATTAAAATGCCAAAAATTAAAGACAAAGAGAGAATCTTAAAGGCAGCAAGAGAAAAGAAAACTGTTAACTACAAAGGACTTCCCATAAGGCTGACACTTGATTTCTCATCAGAAACTCTACAGGCCAGAAGTGAATGGCATGAAGTACTCAATGTAATGGAAAGCAAGGATCTGAGACCAAGATTACTATATCCCGCAAGGCTATCATTCAAAATAGACGGTCAAATAAAGAGCTTCCCAGACGAAAAAAAGGCTAAAGGAGTACATCACCACCAAACCAGCATTACAAGAAATGCTAAAGGGATTGCTGTAATGAGAAGAAGAAACAGAGAGAGAAACCTGGCCATACAGAATTAAAATGGCAATAAATAAGTACCTATCAATAATAACCCTAAATGCTCCAATCAAAAGGCATAGGGTAGCTGACTGGATACAAAAACATGACACAACTATGTGCTGTCTACAGAGACCCACTTCAAAACAAAAGACACATAGGATGAGAGTGAAGGGATGGGAAAACTTTTTCCATGCAAATGGAAAAGAAAAAAAAGCTGGCGTGGCAATACTCATATCTGACAAAATAGACTTTAAAATGAAGGCCATCACAAGAGACAACAAAGGTCACTACAGAATACTAAAGGGATCGATCTAACAAGAGGATATAACCCTGGTAAACATATATGCACCCAATATAGGAGCACCTAAATATAAAAAAAAACTTCTAGAGGACTTTAACGGAGAGATCGACAACAATGCAGTCATAAGGGACTTTAACACCCCTCTGACTTCACTGGATAGATCTTCCAAACAAAAACTTAACAAGGAAACAGACTCTAAAGGACACACTGATCAGATGGGCTTAATTGACATTTATAGAACATTTCACCCCAACGCAGAATATACATTCTTCCTAAGTGCACATGGATCATTCACAAAGATAGACTACATGTTAAGACACAAAACAAGTCTCTACAAGTTCAAGAAGATTGAAATCATATCAAGCATCTTTTCAGATCACAGTGGAATGAAATCAACTATAGTAAAAACGCCCAAAACATTCAAAACATGGAGACTAAATAGCATGTTATTAAACAATGAATGGTTACCAACGAGATCAAGAAGAAATCAAAAACTTCCTGGAAACAAATGAAAATGAACACACAACCACCCCAAATCTCTGGGACATAGCAAAAGCAGTCCTCAGAAGGAAGTTCATAGCACTACAGGCATACCTCAAAAAACAAGAAAAATCAGCAATAAACTATTTAACCCTACAACTTAAAGAACTAGAAAGAGAACAAGAAAAGCCCAGAGCAAATAGAAGGAAGGAAATAATAAAGATTAGAGCAGAAATAAATACCATACAGACTAAAAAAAAAAAAAAAAATCAATAAAACCAAGGGCTGGTTCTTTGAAAGGATAAACAAAATTGATAAACCATTAGCCAGACTCATCAAGAAACAAAGAGAGAGGACCCAAATAAATAAAATCAGAAACAAAAGTAGAGAAGTAACCACTGACACCACAGAAATACAAAGGATTGTAATAAAATACTATGAACAACTATATGCCAACAACCTGGACAATGTGGATGAAACAGACAAATTCCTAGAAAAATACAATCTCTCAAAACTAAATCAGGAAGAATAAAAAAACCTGAATAGGCTAATAACAACTGATGGAATAGAAGCAGAAATCAAAAAACTCCACCAAACAAAAGCCCAGGTCTAGACCACTTCATGGAAGACTTTTACCAAACATTCAAAGAAGAACTAACACCGATACTCCTCAAACTATTTCAGAAAATCCAAGAGGAAGGAACACTTCCAAATTCTTTTTATGAGGCCAGCATTATCCTAATTCCAAAACCAGATAAAGACACTACAAAGAAAGTTATAGGCCAATATCCCTGATTAACATAGATGTTAAAATGCTCAACAAAATATTAGCAAATTGCATCTAGCAATATATATTAAAAGCAGTGGTTCTCAACCTTCTGGCCCTTTAAATACAGTTCCTCGCCAAAACCGGTTTGGCTCAGTGGATAGAGCGTCGGCCTGCGGACTGAAAGGTCCCGGGTTCGATTCCGGTCAAGGGCATGTACGTTGGTTGCGAGCACACAGCTACTCGACGCGACGCTACTTTGCGGCGGAAACGTGCATTTACAGACCCTCGTATTATTTAGCATAATTTTGGAACCAAGTAACGTATTATAATGATATTGGACTTATATGAATTGGGTGACATCGAGGAATGTATATTTGCAAAAAAAACAATATTTTATTGTTTATAATTTTGTACAGTATGATAAGTTTTGTAACACTCCCCAATATGCATTGCAGGCTGATTAGTGCATGTTTGACAGTAATAAGTGGTTTGACGCCTGCCACCAGGTGTTTTCCTGTTAGAACACACAATGCAGTCCCGTTTTCTTTGTCCCACATCAGGAATATGTAGTTTATTGTTTAATCCGACACAAAACCCGCTGACATTTCTTGTATATATCTTAGTAATTTTACGATATTTTGATTTAATTTCTTGTGCCATTTCAAGATAAAACTTCAGGGAAACATGCATGTCTCAAAAATAAACTCAAATAGATAAAGGATTTAAACGTAAGACAGGAAACCATAAAAATCTTAGAGGAATCCATAGGCATTCAGACATATGTCATAGCAATATCTTTACGGATACAGCTCCTAAGGCACAGGAAACTAAGGAGAAAATAAACAAATGGGACTACATCAAAATAAAAAGCTTCTGCACAGCAAAAGAAACCATCAACAAAACAACAAGAAAGCCTACCGCATGGGAGAACACATTTGCCAATGTTATCTCCAGTAAGGGTTTAATCTCCAACATTTACAGGGAACTTAACAAAAGGAAGATAAACAATCCAATAAAAAAAAATGGGCAAAGGACCTAAATAGACACTTTGCGAAAGAGGACATTCAGAAAGCCAAGAGACATACGAAAACATGCTCCAAGTCACTAATCATCCGAGAGATGCAAATCAAAAGAACAATGAGGTACCATCTCACACCAGTCAGACTGGCTATCATCAACAAATCAACAAGCGCCAAGTGCTGGAGAGGATGCGGAGAAAAAGGAACCCTCTTGCACTGCTGGTGGGAATGCAGACTGGTGCAGCCACTATGGAAGACAGTATGGAGTTTCTTCAAAAAATTAAAAATGG